CCGTGGAGAATTCGATACCCAGCTGAATAGCCCAAGTAGACAAATTGTCCAAGGTATCCTGTAAGGGTCCTTGCAGGTCAACCTCTTTTGGCCCTTTGATAGACACTACGCCGTCATCTGCAAGTTGTCTCAACGTGCAATTGTCACTAAGACAGGCATCAATTTCTCTAACTTAGAAATTGTACAAAAGGGGGCTTAAACATGAGCCTTGGGGGAGACCCATGTAGCTAAATCGAAAAGCTGTAGAGTTTCCATGAGAAAAGCTCATATGTTTTTCTGACAGCAAATTGTACAAAAAAATATTCATTAATGGAGACAATCCACAAGCGTGGAGTTTCTCTGAAAGAACTTCAACGGATACTGAATCAAAAGCCCCCTTGATATCCAAGAACACAGAAGCCATTTGCTCTTTCTTAGCAAAAGCTAACTGAATTTCCGAGGAAAGCAACGCGAGACAGTCGTTCGTTCCCTTACCCCTACGGAAACCAAATTGAGTATCTGAAAGAAGGTGGTTCGTCTCAACCCATTTGTCGAGGCGAAAAAGGATCATTTTCTCCATCAATTTCCGAATACACGACAGCATCGCGATGGGCCGATACGAATTGTGATCCGACGCGGGTTTATCAGGCTTTTTAATGCCTATCACCCTCACTTGTCTCCAATCATCGGGAACAATATTGAGCTCCAAGAACTGATTGTACAAGTTCAACATGTGCCTCTTAGCGACGTCTGGGAGGTTTTTAAGCAAGTTGAACTTGATTCTATCAGATCCCGGGGCAGAATTGCCACACGAAAGGAGAGCGAGTGAAAGTTCGACCATTGAAAAAGGCTGACTGATTTCGTCTACCGAATTCGCGGTTTCGCGAGGAGTCAACTGCGACGGCACGGAATCCGGACACACTTTTCGCGCGAATTTAAGAATCCATTGATCCGAGCATTCCTCGCTTTCGTTGTTAGTAGACCGGTTACGCATTCTTCGCGCCGTACTCCAAAGCGTATTCATAGACGTTTCGCGCGACAATCCGTCTACAAACTGCCGCCAGTAACCCCGTTTTTTGGCCTTGATGAGGCTCTTGAGTTCGCGTTCAAGAGATGTGTATGCGTCGAAATGCTCGCGTGTTCCGCGTTTCCGAAAAAGTTTAAACGCGTCGGACTTTTTACGGTAAACCTCCGTGCATTGTTGATCCCACCAGAGCGATGGTGTTTTCTTACGGATTGACGATCGCGGCACCGGTCGTGTTTGAGCTTGAAGTGCGCTGTCGGTGATGAGATTAGAGAGGAAATTATATTCCTCCAACGGCGGAAACTCTTCCACTGACGATACAGTATCGCCTATCGTGGATTGGCACTTAGTCCAATCGATGTTACGGGTTAGATCATACGCGACGTTAACGGATTCTGACGAGTTGAACCCACTGGCAATCGAAATTTTGATCGGCAGATGATCACTACCGTGCGGATCCTGGATTACATGCCAAGTGCAATCCAACGATAGTGAATTAGAGCAAAAGGTGAGGTCTAATCTGCTACCATTCGAGGATGGACCAGCCAAACGTGTTACTTCTCCATTGTTAAGTATTGTCATGTTGAAGTTGTCGCAGAGATCATAAATCAAAGTAGAACGGTTATCATCGTACAGCTCCCCCCAGCCTGTACCGTGGGAGTTAAAATCTCCCATGATCAACCATGGAGCGGGAAGTACCGCACATATGTCGAAAAGTTGTTTGCGATTAACAGAGACTCTAGGAGAAATATATACAGAAGCAATACAAAGGCTCTTACCTCTAATGGTAGCCTGACATGCGACAACTTCAATACCGGGGAATTCGGGAAGATTCACTCTATAGAAGGAATGGCACTTTTTAGTTGGTAGTAAGAAAAAATTATCTCAACAAATTCGAGCGTTTCAATTTTTGTTTGTCTCATCGCATTGCTCTCTCAATGCGACGCATGTATTCAATCACATGCGACTGTTTCATTGAAACATCTCAATGCGCTCTCTCAGGGCGCCATCGCCGTGCGCTGTTTCACATGCCTTGACTCTCACGGTCCCATCATATGTGATGTTGTCGGGTGACGAGAGAAGGGACTGCAAGGGTTTGTTCACAGAATACTTGTGTGCCCTTTTCACATGTGACTTTTGAAATGGGGTGAAGTTTTTAGATGGTTCCAGAAATATCTTCTAGTATAGATTCAAGCAGGCTCAACACATGGTTCCAGAGATATACTGGAATCACCGTAAGATCGCCACTCATGCTCCTAGGAAGACGCAATTGCTTGTCGAAAGGATGCTAAAGGAAGACTACGTGAGCGGTGGATGGCAACCTTACTGTAGTTGGGATACCGTTAGCATGATAGCACCCCAAATAATACCGGAATATCACTGGAACTATGTGTTCTTCAACAAGTCCTTATGCAGAAATCTTCTAAAACACATTTTTTGGATGCCTCTGAAGCTTTCAGCCCATTTGGTGGAAAAATAAATAAGTTATTGCCCATTTGCATCAAATTAAACTGCCGCGCTAAAAAAAATCCCTTAGAATACTTTTACTCAGACCAGTAAAAATATAAATGGACGATTTTGAATGTAAACAGCACTATATTTTACTATACAAGATCATATGGTCGGCGTTAAGTCAGAAGGGACTAAGTAGCAAAATAAAAACAAAAAATTCTCTCAGCTACATTTCACTTTTTCAGCAAGATTTGAAAAATTAGAGTAGAAAGAGAAAACGGTCCAATGATTTGTCCCATTACATAGGACACAATATTGAACAGCTAACTTTAAATTCGTTTTTCTCGAAATCAAAAAAAAATGTCACAAATCGGTCTGACTTGACCGATCATATCAACACGCTAGTAATGATAGAATTCTGAAGATTAATATTTGTATTTTGTCTGGCTTGAGTGAACACTATTTTAAGGGATTATTTTCAACGCAGAAGTGTACTTTGCTGCAAAAACGTTGGTGGTAACTTCTCATTACATACACACAAGTCTACACTTAAACATTAACCAAGTTTAACATGTTGTAAATTTGTTCTGCTATGATCAATTGAGCTGAAATTTTGACTAAAAACTTGTTTTTCCATTGACCTTTGTCCGATCAGCTATGCACAATTTTTAATTTTATTGTCACCTTCCAGCAGGTGCTTCAAAAAATTTGGTATTTCTTACACGTAAAATTCAACATATTTGTAGTTTCGCGTCAAAATGTTATCTCAATTTATCATAACAGAACACATTTACAACATGTTAAACTTGGCTAGTTTGTATGAAAACGACATTTTTCCTTCAATTTTGCACCACAGTGTACGTAGGTACGAAATGCTGGATTAAGGTTAATGTAATAAATAATTTAGGAAAAAGTTTTGTATTACGGATTGTTGCTAAGCTTCTTGCTTCAGGAATTGTGTTGAATACCTACCTGTCAATCAACAAAACTTACTACGGCAGCATCTGGATTCTTCAGATGTGTTAGTGCTCACAGGATAGTTCATACCAGCCACCATGATGCTGAATTGAAACAATCAATTTGCGACAACAGATTTCCAAAAAGTCCTAGTGTTAGTACCGTGATCCCTCGGTGAAATTGAAAAAAGCATATTAACGAGCAAATAAACCACAACTTGATTGTAAATTTCGCTTACCAAAGCCACATTTCTTCCTTCGTTCGTTATGAATGGGCTATTTTTTAAGTTAATCCTTTAGTCAACGAAAATTGCCATTAGAAAAAAATTGTTGGTCATAGCCATCTGATACCTCTTCTCCATGTTCGATAAGAGTGTAGTAGCTAGGTCGCTTTCCATCGTTTTCAAAACAAAACAACACTTTTCCCACATCAAGAACACAAGTTGGTCTTCCAGTTGAGTTTGTTATTTCGATGTCGCGTTGAGACGTCGCTTAGCGACGTCTCATTGAGAAAAGCGCATGAGCTTCGCCTCACGCGACGTCGCATGATATAGAGTTCTCCAGATGCACAAAAGTGTGCGTGAGACCGCGCGCTACCTTTTTAAGTAGTTGTGATATCGCGATACCTTTTTGTTTCTTCTTCTTCTTCGTGTCTACGTATGTATGTTGGATTTTAGTGTTCGTGAAATTGCGCTTGGAGATCTCTATTCGTTCTCATGAAACGCATACATCCGGAAATGTGTTGTGCTTACAAAACAATGCGACACACAGACATTATGAGAATGTGAGATGCGATAAAACTGAAGAGAGAGAGAGAAACAGAGTGCTACAAATCTCTTGCGCATGAGACTGCTATGACTATGAGACTATTCTTATTGCGTCTCGCATACGGTAGCGCGCGCACTGGAAGCCTGCTCAAAAGTCTTTACGTATGTGTATCATGTTTGTGATTTTACGGAGATAATAGGGTTTCCCCGTTTGGACGGTTAGTTTAAAGCTGGCTTGCCTGATCCGTAAATCCTTTCTAGGAAATTTAATGGACTCGCCCTAAGGAGAGTCTCAACCAGGCAAATTTACATTGGGCGTGTGGTCTCCCTTGTGGAGTGGCGCTTTAGGCACACGTTTTTAGAGCCGGATCGCTCGGGCTGGCTACAAACCTTATAGAATGCCAATGATTATTCGGACACACCGGGTTCCTCGGGAAGAGAACCAGAATCTTACTTAATCTAAAACCCAGCAATAATGATATAGCTGAATATCAGCTTATTGAGGTAAAAACAGGGTTACATAGCTTAAAACAGACACATTCAGTTTTACCTTACCTCAGCTGATCCGGTGGGCCATTTGCGGATTCAAACACGTTAACCCTTTGTCATCAATTTATTTTGTCATCATCAAATATTAATTTCATCTTTACATTTTGGTTTCTTTATTGACCATTAGTGCTTATAAATACATGTTTTCTGTTTGCTTTACATAGTATTCTCAGAAATTTCAAGATTAAAGATTATATATATACATATATATAATCGTATTTTGATTCTATTCAAATGACATTATGTACAGATGATATTTTTACCTCTCTTCTTAGGTTTCACTTTTTTTCTGAACGCTCAACAGTGATTTACAATTCGACTACTACATAGTACAACTCAGTTCAACGAAAAATCTGAAGATCTCATATTATTTGATTTATTTTTTTTCTTAACAATCAAACCAAAGAAGGACGATTAATGCACTGGGAAATGGGGCGAAACTGTGTTCGATGCGTGTTTAAGGTGGATTAGTTGAGCATAGATTTGCACACAGTTTCCTTAAACGTGAATGATTTCGCATTTTTGAAAATTTCTTGGCTGAATACTGATACGAGGGGAATACAGAAAATAACAAATTGTAGCTGTGACAAATGGATACTTTAGTTTGGTGGTGGATTAAGTGATTTTGATATTTGCTTCTACAATGTACACATGTGCTTATTTTCAAAAGCTTATCATTTTAACTGAACCACTGTCTTTTCACATAAATGTTGAAACTGCCTAATTTCACTAGAATCTTGTATTTGCATTCACAGCAAGATGAAACTCATTGTCATTGCCGCCAGAACGTCCGGGTGGGAAAGGACGACAACGACCGGAGCGGGAGGGATCATCGGTGAGCATCTTCATAAGAAGTTCATCTCCAGGGCGGTATGCAGCGACCGAATATCGCTATGACTGGATATCCGCCAGAAAGGAAAGTTTAGATTTTTGGCAGCGCTTTCCTCGTCCTGACCGTCGCCTACGACTACGTAGGTGCTCTTCCTACCGAATCGAGTCACGATTCGCTCGAAGCAGGATTCCTTACCTAAAAATGGAAAGAGGTCGTGGTTAAAATTGCAAGGAGTAATCGCGAAATTCCAATCATCCTACCTATTTTATTTGCACTATAAATATTCTCTATTGGAAAGATCTGCCCCAGACCGTAGAGCAGCACTTTAGCCAGAGCCGGAACCAGCTGGGTCGTTGTTACCAGCACGTTCACGCAGTTCTCCCGCTGGGCAATCATGTTCAAACATTTCAACGTCAAACTGTGCCAGCTGTCCGTTTCAAAGTCGATGTCGGAGCGAACCTGCATCCAGTGCTCCCGCTTCTGAGGCCCGAGCAAACCACCAACACTATAATTAGATGGCGAAAAGCAAAGGTCATTAGATATTTGCCCTCAAACTGGTCATAAATCATGTCCTACGTACTTATTTCGGTAGGTGTTGTAGGTGTCCTTAATTTTCCGATAGCGAAATGCCAGCTTTCGCATCCAGTCAACGCCTCCGCGAACGCCATTAGGAAGGCAAATATTAGGTGGAGCTCCTGTGGTGTGCACACAATAATGAAAGCAGGAAAAATGTATTAGGAAATTGAAGGGAAAAGCGTAGGAATGAGAAATTGAACTGCAAATAGACGACACACAATGCGGTAAACATTTGCTTAGGACTATTGCCGATCCGTTTCGATGATGAACCGAACCCAGCGAAGCGAAAGCCAAATGGAATTGCACTGAGGGCCGACGTTCGTTCGTTCGTTCGAAATGGTTATTTACCTTGTGCCGTTCCGGTGTGGAAACCATCGGCGGAAAAATTGTAATTGCTCAGATCCTGTCCGTTGTCGTCGGAGGACACGTCGTCGATATGTACCTGATCGCACTCTTCCAGGTCGTTGAAGAAGAAGAACGCGTCCGCCATGTTGAAGATGAGCTCCTCCATTCGGTAGCCCAGTTGCATGTGGTGGTCGCGACTCTGGGGTAGAAAAGGATCAGAGGAGAGGATAGTTGTTAGTGAAGTTCGTTTCGTTTGGTAGGTATCTTCATGTAAGTATTTAAAAATCGAGAAAAAGGCCCATGAGTGGAAAAAAGTATTAGGGTAAGTGCACCAGGAAAACGATTGAATCACAATCCTAGTGCGTTTTTTGGGCAACATGTATGTGAACCCCGATAAATATGATTTGAATCGACAATCTTAACAGAACTCAACCTGTAAAAACCATCAAATATCGTCAAAACATGTCCCAAATAGGAGCGTGGCCAATACGCCTTTTTAATGCACCACCAACGTAGAGAGCGCCACGCGAGTTCGAGAAGAAACATCAACAAAACCGTTTGTTTACCCCAACCCCAACGCAAATAACAGCATTTTTCATTCAAAATCTTGCCAATGTCCATCGGTAATTGTCTTATTCTACGATTTTCCACAAATCTGAACTGATTTGCACCTTATCTATTCACACACAAGAAATCCGGAAGATCATAACCACTAAGGCACTTTTCTAATTTTCCATTTTTCTCAACAACACGCTAACTTGAAAGTACCCATTAATGGTTGAAAAAGACCCATTTTGAAGAAAAGTGGCTTAACTCATTAAATGAGTAAATTTTTTACCCATTAATGAGTATCTGTTACCCATTAATGAGTAATTGTTAATCATTAATGGGTAACAGATACTCATTAATGGGTAAAATTGTTTAATCATTAATGAGTTAAGCCACTTTTCTTCAAAATGGGTCTTTTTTTACTCATTAATGAGTACTTTCAAGTTAGCGTGAAAAATATTCCTGAACACCAGCAGGATCTTTTCAAAAACGTTACAGAATTAAATTTTTCAACTGTAGATTAAGTTTTGAATCAATTTATGAATCAATTTATCAAGAAAAGTTACAAAGTTTAATTCACGTATATTTGGGAATATGCAATTCATTCAAAAGTAACTTATAGGCCTTTTTAATAGAAACTAAACGATCGATTCAACCTCTGGTGGTCAAAAGGAAAACGTCAAAAAGAGTGTTGTGTGTTGAGTGTGTGAATAGTTAAGGTGCAAATCAGTTCAGATTTGTGGAAAATCGTACAATACTACAATTACCGATGGAAATTGGCAAGACTTTGAATGAAAATGCTTTTATTTGCGTTGGGAAAAATACTTATGCTGCTGTAAACAAACGGTTTGGTTGACGTTTCTTCTCGAACTCGCGTGGCGCACTTTACGTTGGTGGTGCATTAAAAAGGCGTATTGGGCTGAACTATATCGTTGGGTCAAATCTCTCGTTCCTTGGCGAGATGGACCAAACTATGGTCTTAGCCGTCTGTAAAGACAACCACAAAGAAAAAAAATCTCTCCTTCCTTTTTTGACAACAATAACGAGTGCAAGTGAGAGCCCGAATAGAAATTGTAATGTAGGAAGCATCAGCAGACATCTTAAAAACATTAAAGTTTAATGTGTACTGCCGTACCCTTAATGTATTCATACTTCAATGTGACGTCCAAGTACATAAAAATACATTAGCCTCAAACGCTACATTAGAATCAAATGTATTGGCGATGTAAAATTTGACCTCAGGGCACAAACGTTGATATTAGTTGATGTAATGTAATTAGTTGATGCGATGTAATTTGTTGCACACCTAAAACATCATAATACATCCAATGACAACAGAACCAAACGTTACTGTAAGATTCGCATTCCGGTTTATCTTCCCTTTCGACGATTAGGTCCGAAACGAGATATCTTCTTTCCTTTATTTAACGTCGGTCTCTGTTCCGCAATCTAGAGCCAATCACCGACGGACATCGATTGCCATCCATTGACGACAATCGAATGTGCAGGAAGGCAGCTTTTCCACACCTGCGTAGGATATCGCACCCATTCAACACACATGGGCCGGGACCAACGGCTTTACTTCCCTTCCGAAGGAAGACGTGACCAGAGATTTTTATGCCTGATTTTTATGCAGTCACGCTTACCACTACACCACCGGCGCCGGCTAGAAACGAGATATGAAGAACGCAAAAAGATGTAAACACTAATGTAATGCTTAATCGAGAAGTATATAAAAGCTGAAGCAATAAATCAGTAGTGATCGGATTGACGACAACTTCCAAAGTGATTATAAAGCGAATTTAATATAACTTTAAAGTGACGACGAGGATAAATTGAAAGGTATAGTGAAAGTGATAGGAAGGACTGAACAGTGAAAGTGATAGAAAAAACAAGCGGTTGAGAGTTGAATACGACACTAAGAGCGAGTCAAAAGATCTCGTTGGGGAGTCATCTGATCTCGGCCCCCAGGGGCAGATTAGACTGGAGACGGAGGAAAGACGTGGAACGAAGAGGAGGCGAGCTGAATCCGAGGATGAGTGTGCTTTTCGAGGGTTTCCGCTTTGACAGTTACAACCACCCCCAGCACGAAGCGAATTTCATCCTCAAGCATTAAGTTCGGATCCTCCGAAATCGAAACGAAAAGCTACATATTGCCCGAGGGATACTGATAACGAGGCTGATAACGAAGTGAGAAGGTTGGCCCGTATCCGGAAACAGAATAATGATGAAATCACAGACATATTTGGGATATGAAGAACTCAAACACATGTAAACACTATTGTAAAGGGTTATACGGTCAAAATTTGGTCAATATCAACTTGACGTATTTCTTTCAATTTCACATTTAAAAAACCTGAACACCCCTCATTTTGAAGGTGTGTGTGTGTAGAATGTTGCTCCTATTTTGATTTTGGAATTCACTCTTCAGTTGTCAAAATGCCGTCCAAGCAAGAAGAGCAGCGTATCAAAATTTTGCTTGCGCATCGCGAAAATCCGAGCTACTCGCACGCAAAGTTGGCAAAATCGCTAAAAGTTGCCAAATCAACCGTTACAAATGTAATTAAAGTGTTTGGGGAACGTTTGTCGACAGCCAGGAAGTCTGGATCGGGGGGAAATCGAAAACCGGAAGCCGCTGAGACGACAAAGAGAGTTGCCGGTAGTTTCAAGCGAAACCCTAACCTCTCTCTCCGAGATGCCGCAAATAAGCTGGGTGTATCGTCTACAACCGTGCATCGAGCCAAAAAACGAGCCGGACTATCGACTTACAAGAAGGTAGTGACTCCAAATCGCGATGATCAACAAAATACGACGGCCAAAGCACGATCCCGGAGGCTGTACACGACGATGCTGACGAAGTTTGACTGCGTGGTAATGGACGACGAAACCTACCTCAAAGCCGACTACAAGCAGCTTCCGGGACAGGAGTTTTATACGGCAAAAGGAAGGGGAATGTTTTCAAGCACATGAAACTGTCAAAGTTCGCAAAGAAATATCTGGTTTGGCAAGCCATCTGTACCTGTGGCTTGAAAAGCAGCATTTTCATAGCTTCCGGGACTGTCAACCAAGAAATTTACGTGAAAGAGTGTTTGAATAAACGTCTGCTGCCTTTCCTGAAGAAACACGGTTGTTCCGTACTGTTTTGGCTAGATTTGGCATCTTGCCATTACGGTAAAAAGGCCATGGAGTGGTACGCCGCCAACAACGTGCAGGTGGTTCCCAAGGACAAGAACCCTCCCAACACGCCAGAGCTCCGCCCAATTGAGAAATACTGGGCTATTGTCAAGCGGAACCTAAAGAAGACCAAAAAAACTGCTAAGAGCGAGCAGCAGTTCAAGGCAAACTGGCTTTCTGCGGCGAAGAAGGTGGACAAGGTGGCTGTACAAAATCTGATGGCAGGGGTCAAGCGTAAGGCCCGGCAATTCGGATTTGGAAAAGCGGAAGCCTAACTGAATATTTTTCCTGAATTTTATACTAATTGAACTTGAAAAAGAAATTTAATTTGATTTTTTAAATAAACGATTTCACCGATTTACACGCGTTTTCCCTTGACCAAATTTTGACCGTATCACCCTTTAATGCTTGGTCGAGAAGTATATAAAAACTGAAGCAATAAATCAGTCGTGATAGTAGTTGTAGGTAGTTGTAGTTGTAAGAAGTAGTTATAAGTAGTTTTCATTTTCAATTTAAAACAAACCAATCCCACCAAGGAGGTCATTCTCTAAAACAGGCCTGATACACAGCAAAAAAAAAAAGTAATATCGATCAACGTAATTCAAGCTGATGTATGAAATAATAATGTAATAACTAAAAGCAGATACAATATTACATCAATGGATGTAATTTTGTTCGCAAAATCGATGTACATCGTACAATGTGATATTACACAACCGATGGATTGACCTGGTTGCAGCAGTTTCGATGTAATATTCAACAACTTTTTTTGCTGTGTAGGACTAAGAACTGTAATTAATAATAATTGAAATTCAAAAGAACTAAAGTTGAAAAGACGCATCTGTGTCACTTGATAAGTTATACATGTAAACCACACAAATTCAAGAAATATTGATCATCTAAAGTAAAAAAAAATCAATCGTGATCAGATTGACGACAACTTCCAAAGTGAGTATAAAGCGAATTTAATGTAACGGAAAGAAAACTTGATGTAACGATGTAAATTGTTGCACGTATAAAATATTAGAATACATCTGCCATGGATACACTTGCATGACAAACTATGAGAATGAGTCTTATTTGTATAATAAAACTCATGCTCATCCATGGTGGCACTTGTATAGTTTTTGTATAGTGCTCATTATTATTATACCATTAATACTCATGTTCATAGCTTGTCATACAAGTGTATTCGCGGCAATCCTATGACACTACAACCTCATGAAGGCCGGGCGAAAATGTGACAGTGAGTCGATGAAAAACTGAATCGGTACAGTTCCTCCTCCGTTTTATCGTGTTTGGTGGCCATCGGATGGGCAAGATCATCCGGATTCGATTTCAACTTCCCCGGGGATGCGTTGGAACTGCGGATATCATGAATAGTCTAGTGAAGTTTCACCTTTTGGTAAGTTTCTTTATGCTACCTTATGTTGTTGTGATGTTTAATTTCTCCTATTGACGAGTGCACGGATGGAT